GGGGGGGGGTGTCTGTCAATAACCACACTTAAGTTCCTTTCCAGACCTCCTAGAACACTCAGTCGGGTTGCACCCAATCTCCCTACATTTAATCCTATTTAAGAGGGCATTTTCCTCAATTTAAGTTTCCCCTGCGTGTTTTCTGAGCGTGTATCTTGGCATTCCTAAGAGATTTCAAACTCAATGAGGACAGGAACACCGAATTTTGAATGAAGAAGTGAGCCTGTTTATTTTTTGTCATTTTGTCCCCAGTGTTTGGAATTGTGCCCTGTACAGGAGGAAACCTGGCAGGCAGTCATATAATAAACAAATGATTATTGTGAGGCTTTTATGTATTTGTATGTGGAATAAATACTGAAAGGAAGCATAGAGCTATATTCTTCTTGGGCCATTTGGTGCCTAGTCCAGAGCTACTAGCCTCTGCCTTGAGATGTCTATTAGCAAACTTGAAGGCTGCTGGCATGCTCTGTCACTGGTTTGCTCTGGGACCTCTGACAAGTAACAATCTCTCACTTCCTAAGCTTTGAAACTAAATGGTTGTATTAGATGACCTTTAAAGTTCTTTCCACTTCTCAAATTCCGTAATTGTTTGATTAGAATATCTGCCCAGCCTAACTCCATCAAAAGTTCAGATGGAGTTAAAGTTAAAGCTTTATAGTAGATGAATGGGCTTTGAAAATTACAAGGAATTTCTCAAAACCCAAGCCTTTTTTCAAATATAAAATTGGCTTCTGAGGTTTGAAATACCTTGAAGTTCCTTTGCCAACCCCATATATAATAGATAATATCTCCTAAATTAATGAAACCCTTCCTGGTGTTGCCCAAGAGCAGTTCTCTTATACCAATGTGATCCAGAGTGGTGCTATACAAAGGCTATCTAAATTACAAATCTATAAAAGAAAAGTGCAAATGCTAAAAGAGCGTGCTTTCCAGTCATAAGCTTCCCAAAATCAAAACCAACCTCACTGCCATCGTGTCAGATCCAACTCATAGCAACTCCTCCTTGGTTTCTGAGGCGGAATCACCACAGAAGTAGATTGCCCAGTCTTTCTTCCGAGGAGTGGCTGGTGCATTTGAACCGCCAGCCTTCTGGTTAGCAATCAAGTGCCTTAGGCACTACGCCACCAGAGCTCCTTCAATAAGTTTGGGGACCTAAAACAACAAGAGTGCCCTGCTTGTTATTAAAGGAGACAGACTCTTCTTCCCAAAGCACCTTCACTGCCACTACCTAGGCCTGCAGAGGCAACACCGCCTGGCGAGCTGTGGCCTCTAGACAGACTAGAGGAGAGCCACAGGTGTTCCCTCCTTCCCAAATTGCAAATGCTCTTTGCAAAGCTCAGGGCAGCTGTTTTTCTTCAGAGGAACATCGTTTGCTTAATGCCTTCTTTCTATGCCCTGCTATAACCTTCTTTCCAGTCTGGGTAAGCATGCGGGAATTCCTCCAAGAGAGGAAAACCAGATTAAATGCGAATGTGAAATGCTATCCAGTCATTTCAACTCAAAGTGACCTCTCCTTGGGTTTTGGAGGCAGTATGTCTACAGAAGTACATTGCCCAATCTTCCTTCCCAGGAGTGGCTAGTAGGTTAATAGTCAAAATCCAAATAATTTCCTCGAATTTAGAACTGGAAAAAGCAAAATGGAAAAGAAGAAATTAGTGAATTTGAATTTTCTGGCCTTAATCAATTATTGCCGTAGCAAAATTTCAGTTTTTTGTTTGTTAGTTTCAAAATGAAGCTCTTCATGAGGAAATTGGTACAACTCTTTTTCCTCTGCACAGAGTTTACAACTTTCATCTTTCCCAAAACACCTATTCCAGTGAGCCCTAGATTGTGGAGACATTTGCAGCCCCTTTGCTGGGAATTCATAGAGGCATGTTTCTATGCCTGATTTTAGTCACCTATTTAAGAAAAACATTCAACAGATATAGATGAAATTGGCTCCAAGTATTTTTTTTTAATCAATTTATTTTAATGTCTGTGCCTCTTTTTTCCAATGACCTTTGTCAACAAAGAAGCAGGGAAAGTATCAATAATTTCCTAATCCTCTCCCTTTTCTAGAAGATTTTCTAGATTAGAAATAGGCTAATCATGGAAGGCTACGATCTGGTCTATTTCAAAGTGTTTTCAACCCAACAAGCCACTAAAGAATCCAACAGCCTTCACCTGGACCAGCACTAGAGCCTCATCACTGCTCTTGCTAATCCATAATTGTCTATGCTTTCCCTCTCTGAAAAAGTCATTTCCAAAGTGGGGTTTAAGTACCTGCAAAATAATTTACTTTTGTTTAGAAATAAAATAATAGACTTTGGGGATATATTTAATCATCTTAATATAGGTTCCTGCTTGGGTGGCGAAAGTGGATAAGTGATGGGCTCCTAGCTGAGAAATTGGTGGCTCAAACCACCCACAGGCACCTAGAAAATAAGGCCTGTTGATCTCCTTCCAAAGGGTCACAGCCCTGAAAACCCCATGGAGTAAAGTTCTGCTCTGCATGCATGGAGTCACTAGGAGTCAAAATCTACCAGATAGCACACAATGGCAGCAACATAATTATACTGGGGTTGCCATGAGTTGGAGTTGACTCAATGGCCACTAGCAACAATATAACTATAGTCATCGGAGCTCTGGTGGCATAGTGCCTAAGGCATTTGACTGCTAACCAGAAGGCTGGCTGTTCAAACCCACCAGCCACTCCTGGGAAGGAAGGCGGGGCAATCTACTTCTGTAGTGATACCACCTCGGAAACCCAAGGAGGGATCGCTATGAGTCTGGTCCGACTTGACGGCACATAACGACAACAAATAGTCATAGTCAGGCAGATAACATAAATGTTTTGGAGCCACAAACTGATTGGTGTACATGATTTTAAAAGTTCAGACACCTTGCCTACAAAGCAGCACATAGGGCCTTTCAAAACATAAACCATATAATCCCTTGCCACTTCTTAAGACTCTTTTGTGACTTACCATTGACAAGAGTGAGCATCAAACTCCTTTTCACAGACTCCAAGTCTTGCCTGTGCCAGGCCCTGCTCCTTCCTCAATCACATGTGTCAGGACTCTCCCTCCTTACACATAGGCTCCAGCCACTCCAATTTTTTTTTTCCAATTCAGGACATTTGCACATGCTATTCCATCTTCCCAAAATGTCTACTCCACTCCCATCACATAGCTGGTTCCTCTCCTTTGAGACCTCCACTTTAAATATACTTCCTAAGAGAAACTTCCCCTGATCTCCTACCTAAATAAAGAATTCCTTACACATTTTCTGTTCCAATCTCTTTGTATATTTTTAGCATACATTACAGCTTTCAGTCATTTTGTTTGATCCCCCTCCCCTTTTTCTTGTAACTCCCAGCAAAGCCGTGTGTGTCTGCCTATCTGCTCTTTCCCATTGTGTCCTCTGTGCCTGACTCATTGTAAGTGCTCAGTAAATAGTATCTGGCTGACTTTGAGATACATGTGTAGCAGCTCTACGTACACAACTCCTAGTGGCAAGCACTTTGAAAGTCAGTTGTTTACTGTGTGGCAGGAACAGCGTTAAGGATCTTACATGTGCCCTTGCAGTGCAGTGGTTAGGTATTCAGCTGCTAACCAACAGGTTCCCTGTGGGAAAGATGTTGCAGTCTGCTTCCATAAAGATCACAGCCTTGGAAGCCCTGTGGGGCAGTTCTAGTCTGTCCCACGGAGTCACTATGAGGCAGAGCTGACTCAGTGTCAGAAAGTGTGGTGTTTTCGTAACTCTTTTTTTCCCTTTTTTTTACAAAGTTTCTCTCACCTAAGTACTATTATTTTACAGATGAGGTAAAGTCACCACTCTGGGTCACACTGCAATTTGTGCAAGAGACAAGATTTGAACCCAGGCATGTGACTCCTAACGTATTCTTGACTGTATGCAATACTGTTTCAATCCAATGCCAACTAATAACAACATTTTATTGAGGTTTTACTATGTGCCAGATGTTCTAATTAGCACTTTGAATCATTTTTAATAACTTTGCAAAAGCAATTCTGGAAACAAGCAAGCAAGTTAGTTTAAGCTGAGAGGAAATTTTGTATTCTCCAGTTTTATTGTTTTTATTTTTTTTTGGGGGGGGGTGGAGGGGACAATGTTAAAATGAGTAGTATATGCACCACTTGCAAGGCCCGACTGCATGACGTCCAGGTAACAGTTAAATACATTGCTATTCCTTTTTTCCTCCTTTTCTAGATCTTTCCTTCCCTGATGGATACCTTGGCTTCAGCTTGCACTAAATCACATTATATGCCTCATCATTAGAACAATGTCTTTTAATAGCTCTCAAAATACTTGGCTCCCCTTGGATACCATTGAGACAAGG